AGGCTGAAAATGTTTGAGCTGGATAGGAGAATATGGGCTAGTCACAGCATTTCTGTCCAAGTGCTGAATTTAATAACCAGAACAAAAATACCCATTTTGGTAGGACACTCTTTCAAAGTAGAAATCTATGTAAAACTGAGGAGTATTTTTTGCAGAGTAAGAAGGGCAAATTATAAACAAACCAGAGGCCTATGGTTTGGCCAAGGTACTTCTCTCATCAAATGCAATAAAGCTTGCGATTATTATTATTTTTTTTTTTTAAAAAAAGGGAAAGGGAAGAAAACAAACAAGTCCTCAAAACAGTGCTGCAGTTTTTCGAGAACAGTCCTTCCAGTTGGTTGTTTTAAAGTACCAGCCTTTGCAATGCATTGCTCCCCTGCATAGAGCTCCTAGAATAGGACAGAGACATTTACTTCGGAATTGGCTCACTCTCATTGGAATATAAGCAGTGAGTGTTCAAATACTGTGGACTTGGAAGTTGATGATGGTGACTTACCATGTTTTCACAGGAAAGCTGTCTTTTTTTTTTTATGTCTTACCATTTTACAGGTTTCCTTTTTACAAACACACTGCACAATAGGAAATCCTGCCCGTAGCCCTGAGATGCCCAGGAGACTGTGAGGCATTAAACATGGATTGATTTTCACAGTTTTGCCACCAGCGTTTCTATATTTTGTTCTAGGCATGAGGGTGTTGCAGGAATCAGGACACTCATCAGGAATTGGGGGGTCGGGGGTGATGGTGGTGGACAGGGGTCGCCTTTCAAAGTTAAATTATGAGTGTCACATATGCCAGCTGTGAGAGAAAGAATAAGGAGTAAATATTTAATTCTTCATAGGCCTGTAATACATTTATTTACAGCTTTGCAATTTAAGTTATTTATGTTGACTTTGAGATTTCTAATTATCATGCATTAGCCCTTTTCTCTTATGAGAACAAAATCTTGATTAGTGGGTTTGAGGCCAAATAGGAGGTGCCACCACCCTTAGTTCCTCCGTGGCGGGAGATCCATGGTGAGCTTGGGGTTTCTACAGCCAGTAAGCCCCCAGCTGCTGAGGAACATGCCAGTTCACCTTTTTGTAGGTGCACCCACTCTCTACTCTTTGAGTTCCCCCATTGAATTCAAATGGTTGAATTCAAATGGTTGAAAGGGAATGTTCTTGTTCTCTCACCATAAATGCTGAATCTTAACAGCTCCTCTCATTCCCTCTTCTCTCTCTAATCTCCTGCCAAGAGAGACCAAAATTGTGCTACCACTTGGTCAAAGAGTGTGGCAGTTTCTCAAAATGTTAAACATGAAATTTCCATACAACCCCAGTAGTTCCACTTCTAGGAATTTCTCCAGGAGAAATGAAACATTTGTCCACACAACAGCTTATACAGAAATGTTTATAGTATAATGACTCATAGTCGCCCAAAAGTAGAAACAACCCCTGTGTGCATCAATGGGTGAGTGGATTTAAAAAATGCTGTATATCTATGTACTGGAATATTAATTAGAAATAAAAAGGAACAAAGTAATGATACATGCTATGACATGGGTGAACCTTGACTTTATGCTTAGTAAAAAAAAAAAGTCCAGAAAGTTCGTTACCAAAGAATACATGCTATATGATTCCATTCATAGGAAAAGGCAATATAGGGACTGTGTTAGTCTGTTCTTTCTGAGACTGGGTAATTTATAAAAGAAAGAGGCTTAACTGACTCACAGTCCCACATGACTGGGGAAACCTCAGGAAATTTAAAATCATGGTGGAAGCAGAAGCAAACACGTGCTTCTTCAAATGGCGGCATGAAGGAGAAGTGCAGAGTGAATGGGGAGAAAGCCCCTTATAAAACTATTAGATCTTGTGAGAACTCACTCACTAGCATGAGAACAGCATGGAAGTAACTGCCCCTATGATTACCTCCCACCAGGCTCCTCCCATGACACATGGGGATTATGGGAACTATAAGATGAGATTTGGGTGGGGACATAGCCAAACTTATTCAGGGAGAGAAAGTAAATTAGTGATTGCTTAGAACTTGATAGGGGGAAGAGAAATGATTATAAATGGGTAGAGAAATCTTTTGGGGTAATGTAAATGCTCTAAGATTTGATTCAGTGGTGATTATACAATTGTGTATATTTGTATTTGGGTTATAATGGTATGTATGTATATGTATTGGATAATATAAATATATTTGTAATGGGTTGAGTAGTATCCAAAAAAAACTAATGTTCCCCCTAGAACCTTGGAATATGACCTTATATGGAAATAGAGTCTTTGCAATTATAATTCATTAAGAAGAGATCATACTGCATTAGGGTAGGTCCTAAATCCAGTGACTGGTATCCTCATAAGAAGTCCATGTGAAGACACAGAAACATTCAAAGAAGAATGTAAAGCATGTGAAGATAAAAGCAGAGGCTGAAGTTTTGCTGCCACAAGCCAAGGAATGCCTGGGGCCACCAGAAGCTGTAAGAAGCAAGGAAAGGTTTTCCACTAGAGGCTTTAGAGGGAGCATGGCTCTGCTGTCACCTTGATTTGGACTTCATCCTCCAGAACTGTGAGAGAAGAAATTTCTGTTAGTATAAGCCACATAGATTCTAGTAATTTATTACAGACACTCTAGGAAGCTAATGCAATATTAAGTTTTCAACTGAATTGCACACTTAAAACAGGTGAATTTTATAGTATGAATATTATACCACAATAAAGCTGTTAATAAAAATAAAAATTTTTCTTTTATAGGCTAGGGGAAGGGAGGGATCAGAACCAAAGTCTGGGGACAGTACAGCCAGTTTCGCTGCATCTCAGAAATGCTGGAAGAGGACTTTCACAACAGTTGTGAGCAACTCTCTTTGATATCCAGAACTCTTGGCACCTCTCCAATTTGCCTACTTCCCATGTTATCACACGGTCAGTGCTGTGGGGCACATCTCTGCCACATGGCTGCTGACTCTGGAGAAACTCCCAAATGTAGGTTCTTTTGTGGGTGCCCAGGCTACAGGACTGGTAGTATTTTGACATTTCATTATATTTCTCAAATCTCTCTGGTAAGCCATGGGAAAAGACATGACCTGGTATGTGCCAGTCTTAGAAGAAGCCACAGTGTTTCTATGGTCAAGTACCTTGGAAGGCTTACGAGGCAAGCAATCAAGAACATAGTCTGAGCTTAACCTTAGAAATGGGGGAAGGGAGCTTATTCTTGTAATTGGGCAATGAGATAAAAAGCAGGTAAAGATATATTTATGTTTTGATGAATTTTCAAATCTTTCTAGTCCTTTGTGATAACATCTTATTCCTTTATCATATTTAAAAAGTATCTTTAAACATTCATACATAGTTATTTTTGCAGTCTATATCTGATGACTCTATCATCTGAAGTCCTGGTGTTAGTTTTCTCATGTGTTCTTTAGTTTTGGTTTGTGAGCTCATGGCTGGCAAAGCTTTCTCTGGGTGCATTTCAGTGGGCCTGGAGAGAGGACACATTCTTCTAGAGTATGTTAGCTTTGGCTAGGCCCCTGGGGCCACCATCAAACTACAATCACCTGCATGTTAATTCCTTACCATGAATCTGACTCCAGACCTATGTAGAGCCAGGCTAGTTTTACAAATTCTCAGGGGAGAGATTGTGTTTCTACATCTATAACTCAAGCTAAGACAGTTTCCTTCTCTCTTTGCCTTTGTGGATTTTTATTTTTTATTGTATTTTTTGGTTACATGTTTTCTGTCAAGATAGAACCCTTTGAGGAGCCTTGCTTTGGAGGTCTCACATTTAATGTCATGCCTCTCAGGTCATCAAAGCAGCACCATTATATTACCTCTGGCTTTTCACCATCAGCTTTTGTTTTTGGTCTCTGGTTTTTCTCTCACTTTCTGATAATCTTAGTATACGTTTTTAAAAGGGTATTCGTTATATGCAATCCAGAATTTCTAGGTGACTTGTGGAATTGGGGTGGGATCTTGTGTCATCCATTGCCAAGAAAAGAAGTCAACATATTAATTTTGATGTGGAAAAGGAAACTTGAGAAGTTTCACAAATAAAGGTTTTCTTTTTCTCAGTAAATTGGAGGTGAGATTCTCTGCTGTAAGTTATGGAGAAGGGACAGGTTTGAGGTCTCCAGTGACTAATAAAGGTTTGCAAGGTTTATAACAACTGTGGGAGATGGGCATGGTAAAGAGTGGTGACAAGGTCTGGTTAGCAGCAATAAGGGATTCACCTAAAGTTGACTAAAAGTGGAGGTTTCATCCCCATTGTTGAAAATGATAGTTAGAAACATAGTTGATCCCAGAAAAAGGAGGATAACCCTACATGTGAAGTCTTTTTTATAGACAGAGCAACCAGTAACATCATTGTATTAGTCCACTTTCATGCTGCTAATAAAGACATACCTGAGACTGGGCTGTTTACAAAAGAAAGAGCTTTAATGGACTCACAGTTCCATGTAGCTGGAGAGGTCTCATGACCATGGAGGAAGGCAAGGAGGAGCAAGTCACATCTTACATGGATGACAGCAGGTAAAGAGAGAGTATTTGTGCAGTGAAACTCCCATTTTTAAAACCATCAGATCTCATAAGACTTATTCACTATCATGATAACAGATGGAAAAAATCCACCTCCAAGATTCAATTACCTCCCATCAGGTTCCTCCCATGAAACATGGGAATTATGGGAGTATAAATCAAGATGAGATTTGGGTGCGGACACAGCCAAACAATATCAATCATTCTGTGTGTGCTAAGGGACATAGGCCATGGCCCTCAACAGGGTTGGAAGTGAGCAACGTGCTGTGGGTGTGAAACTGCATGGCAATATCTGGCTGGGGCTCACTTACTCAAGTTTCATTTTTCTGCCACCTTTTCTTTATTTTCTCGTGATTTTTGCACAGCAGTTTCTTGAATAAATTGTATTTCAAAGAAATGTCTCTTGAAATGTGAGTTACCTGAGTGTTTTGCCAGGGAAAATCAAGAACCTGCTTTGCTGAACACTTTGTGTCCCTCTTGGTTTTTCAGTTCCTGCAATGATAACATCCTATCCAAATACTACCCTGGCCACACAGGGGCAAAAAAAGGAGATGAGCTGCACAGCACATGGTGAGAAGCCCATTATAGTCCGCTGGGAGAAGGAGGACCGAATCATTAACCCTGAGATGGCCCGTTATCTTGTGTCCACCAAGGAGGTGGGAGAAGAGGTGATTTCTACTCTGCAGGTAAAAGCATGGCAAATACAACACAATGGAATGAATTTTATTGGAAGAATAAGTCTTTCCTTTCACACAAGTGGGTGCAGATAAGTAGCAGATAATCTTTTGGAATTTATTTACGAAGCACCATTTTTCTTCCCTTTCACACAGTGAGATTACTGAATGGCCTTCAAAAATAGTGCTTCAGCCTAAGTGTTATTAAGAATAGGATTATTATGAACGCAGCAGGAAACACAAGGGTAATAAAAAAAAAGTAAGAAATAAGGTTTTTAAATGACAGTTAATCCTTGAGGACTGACAGCCTATGCTGTGCACATGTTTTAACTTCCTGCAGAAAGAAAAATGAGATGGGCTTTGGACAAAAATATTATCATAAAAAATATCTTGCTTCTTTGGAAAAATCCAAAGTAAAAATATTCTGTCATTAAGAGAGGATCACAAAAGCTAGAGAAAGGCACTGTGAGTCATGAACTGGGTTGTGCTGTTATCATGGGGATGGAGGATGATACTGTAGCACACACAGGGAGGGTAGGTAGAGAAGCCCTGTGTTTGTAATGCTTATATTGGCTCTGAAACAAGGGTCCATTCCTGGAATCCTGCTAGAACAGGAATCTGACAAGACTCATGCTGACCCCCAGCCCTGGCTGCAGTATATAATCTGTTTCTTTGGACATGGTTGCTTTAGATGCTCTAAAGGCATACCATGAAACAAATGTATATGTAAGATTTATGTCAAGCTGACCACAACATCCTGTATAAATTACACATCCAATTTAATGAGCTACAGCTGACATGAATAGTGTCTGTGAATCCTATTCATCTACACACTTACAATTATACTGAAATAATCTGTCCTCAGAGGGGTATGTGCATGTGTGTGATTTACTGTGTGAGAATGTGGAGGAATGGGGGTTGTGTGAGTGTGTGTGTGTGTGTGTGTGTGTGCGCGCGCGCACACGCGCACTGGGCATGGCAGGAGAACTGAAAGAGTGGAGAGAGAGCTTTACAGCCAGAAGTCATTTTGCCTACTGTGAAAGATGAATTTCTTTCTGCTTTACACATAGATTTTGCCAACTGTGAGAGAAGATTCTGGTTTCTTCTCCTGCCATGCTATTAATTCTTATGGGGAGGACCGTGGAATAATTCAGCTCACAGTGCAAGGTAGGAAGACGATAGCGTAAGAGAATAAACACAGCTGTTTTGGGACAGGAGCTGTATGCTCAGCCTCGGGCATCTGTGTGGCTTCAGCTTGTCATGTAACACTTCCTAATTCCCAGGAAATTTTGAATATGTATCAAGTCAGTGCTAAAGCAGAATTTTGCAGTGCCTATGATTATGTCAAAGTAAAGCCCCAAAACAGGGAACAAAGCCCTTCAAGGAACCAGTCAGGATGACAAACCCATGATAGTCAAGCCCATGCACCTGCACATAAATATAGCAGTGGAATTTCCTTACTCAATGTACTAGACAATCAGAATGAAAGGGAAATTCAACATTTGGGGCCAAAGTATGTTTTGAGTTAGAGATCCAAGCTAGAATAGTGACATTTTATATCTTCCAGGTTTGGTCCATTTATTAAGTGCTTGGAAGTCTTGGGAAAGTGGATTTTCTCCTCCCTACAATGTGATTCAGGAAAAAAAAATGCTTCCAAATAAAAAGCATCTGTTCTTGTCTAATGCAGACAAATCATTTGTGAGCCATGCTCAGCATTTCCTCTAGTGTTTCATGTCAGAGGTCTGTGTGAACTAACTCTGAGTCTTTCTGTTGATGGTGCAGAGCCGCCGGACCCTCCCGAAATTGAGATCAAAGATGTCAAAGCACGCACAATTACGCTCAGGTGGACCATGGGGTTTGATGGAAACAGCCCCATCACGGGCTACGATATTGAATGCAAAAACAAATCAGGTAAGTTCTTTATTTCCTCCAGCTTCATTTCCACCTCAGAAAGTTCTTTTGTTTTTCTCCTTATTAATGTAATTTACCTGTAAGTGCACAGCTCAGCTCACAGGAGCTCAGAGGACACCATTTCCACCAGTCAGTCTCCCTCCTTGCTGGAAGCACATCCTGGCTTTCCGCTGTGGGAGTGGAGTTTCATGTTGAGGCTCAGCTCTGCTTCTTTCTTTTTGAGTCAGCCCAGACTGCAGTCTTGCTTCCAGCTGGACTCCTTGACATTGCAGCCACATGTCGGCATGTCGGCAGTGGCTGATGGAACCAGGCCTCCGCCATGACCTTTTCTATCTCACCTGCTCCCTTCACTTCCTGTTTCCCCAGTTGGAGTGACTTTTGTAGAGTCTGATCCCATGTCCTACACCCAGAGTGCTGAGCTCTAGCTGTGCTTGGTGTCTGTCAGATACACTGTGCAGTGGTGTTTGGTGCGGGAAAGGGAAAATTCACTCTGCAGGAACCTCCTGGAAATGCCCAGGGACCATCAGTGACACTGGCTGCTGTACCTGGGACCACTCAGTCCAGAACCCATAAATAAAACTGACCCCACTGCCAGGACCACTGCAGGTGTGCCCCTTCATTGTCTTCAAGGATCAATGTGGGGGCCATTTTGAACTTTACGATGCGTCAGGCGAGGGTAGAATGCCACCACTGTGGCCTCTAGTCAGAATTTTCACTGTGTCTCATAAAAGGTATGAGGAATTCGAGCACCACCAGCATGGAAAGGGCTAATAAAATCCTTACTGACCACAAAAGTGGCTTTAGTTTTCACTACCTGGGCACTGCACATTATATCAGATTACCCAGTTATGACCCATTTAGGATCGTTGGCACTAAAGCTGTGGTAAACAATCAAGCTCAAGGCGGCTGGGAACCACAGGTTAGGAGTGAGGAAATGTTTCAGCAAGAGCAAGCCAGGAACAGGGCCAGGAAATGGTGACTGCGAAGGAAAGCAGAGGGGTGGCTCTTTAGAAACTCAGGAGAGCAGAATTTGAAGATTGAGAAGACAGTGGATCAAAGCAAACATAGTGTTTTGAAAAGTAGTGTCTGTGACTTGCAGGGTTGGAAGTGCACATAAGAAAAGATGGAGTGGCTCAGGCTGTCAGCCTCTGAATTGCAAAACTGGGGACCTAGAAGTGAGGTGTCACATACACAAGGCCCAAGGGAGGGCCTTCCAGGGGCTGATTAGACTACAAGTCTAACTGAGAAATGCTGCAGAGCCAGGGCCCTGGGCTCAGGGGTCAGGCACTGTGACCTGCGGGCACGCCTAAGACAGTGCTGAGCTAAATGAGTATTTTTTTGGGGCGGGTGAGGATGAACAAGATTCCCAAGAGCCCAGGGAGGAGAGGCTGACCTTGCCTTTATTCTAAAGAAGTAGAATTACAAGTTCACAGATGCAGGTCTTGAAGTGAAGCAGGTGCTTCTTAGGTGAGGCAGTCACATTTGAGCAGAAACTGGCCTGGAACCTGGTGACAGTGATGAGAGCTCAGACAGACGCAATGAGCGCCCTGGGGACAGGGACAGCCCTTTATCTCACTGGCTGTGCACCGGCTATGGTGCTGCAGGCTGCCTGTGCTGTTGATGCTGAGCACACAGGTGGCCTCCTCTAGCAGAGCAGCTCAGGACCACCCTGTCCTCATGAAGGATCGGACATTGCCAGATGCTGGTGGCAGGCCCAGGCTCAGTGGTTTGGGACCCAACCTGTGTGGGATTTGCTGCTAGGCCTGTGTTGCACCAGCTCTGTGCCTTCACCTGCTCCCCTCATCTGTGAAGTGGTTATCACTGCATCCACCTCAAAGGACTGGCAAGGAGACCACAAAGGCCACCAGCTGCCGTTGCCCCAAGTCCTCCCTTCCCTGGGCCACCCAGTTACTACCCCCTCCTTAGAGCCCACATCTCAGCTGCTCACTCAGCTCCATCTCCCTTTTACTCTGGGCCTGTGGCATTATGTGTCATCATATACGTACCTTTGTGATTACTGACAAATATACTGATTAATGCGTTTCACCTCCACCATGCTAGAGGCTCCTTGGGGGAACCCTCCACCTAGTAGGTCTATTTTCACCCAACTCATTTCTCCAACACCCAGCACCGCACCTAACATATGGAGGCACTCGGTGGACGTTGGTGAACTCTGAGAAGGGAAGATGTTGTAAACACTTTCCTCATTGTCCAGAGCATGCTCAACATCTAATAGGTGGTAGTTTGTAGATTGCTCCAATGTGCAGGAAAATGCTTATGAGTAAAATGCCTCTAAAACCCTCTATGTTAGCTAAAGTACTTGCTCAGCATCTAGGAGTCCTCACTCCCCAGGGGGTTCCCAAAGGCAGGGACTGGTTCTCTGTGTCCTGGGAACCCCAGCACCCAGCACAAGGTCTGTCAAGTGAAGAGTGTACTGTAAATGTTTATTGCATTTAATTTACATGCAGTTGAAATCTAAAAATCATTATTATCCACGACATCTTTAAATGTATAAAACGATCATGGTTTATATAACCAAAGCCGGAAAGCTCCTTATCTATAAAGCCAAGTACAGGAGGGATTGAGGGAGTCTTCCCATCCTTCATGCCCTACTTCACCCAGAGACAGGGCCAGTGGTGTGGCTAAGATGTTTACGCAGCCCTGGAGCAAGTCATTTTAAGGGTCAGCATGGGTCCCAGGAGAAGCCCTGGGGAAAAGCCCACAGGACAAGCAGCTGTAACTCCTTGACTAAGGTCTCCACCAGGAACCTACAGAACTTCCATTACTTTCAGTTTGGAAGCCCTGGGAGGAAGAAGCCATGCTGAGTAGATAGCACCTGTACTCACTGCTGTACAGGGTGTGTTAATCAGATTTTTCACATATTAGTTGCTTCCTCAATATACTTTTGGTGTGTAAAAATTACAACCACAATTTAAGTGAGTGCAATTTTAGACTGAGTACATAGAAAACAGATCCTTCAAGTATTAATAACAGCCTAAATGTCACTTCTTCCAGAAAGCCTTCCCTGACTACCTATTCCCCTTCGCTATTCATAGCATGCCTTGAACACTTGGTGGGCTCATGACTATTAATTTGTCCCATGCACACCCCCATGGGACAGTTGTTCAGCTATGGGCCATCGTGAGCCCTGAGGGCTGGGATTGTGTCTGACAAACCCTATGCTATGCCCCTGCACCCCTCATAGTGCCTGGCAAGTATCCTAGGCTCATAACAACCATCAGTCAAATTGTTGATGCTCAGCCCCTGTTTTAGGCAATGGTGAAATTATACCCTCAAAAGTTTTCCTTTACTTTTCATTAATTGTCAAAGAAAGCAGCATATTACCAATGTATTAAAATACTTCACATTCTTAACCAAAAGGACTTCTGTAAGTGACCATTCACTCTATACTTGAACAGTCCTAGAAATAGAGGCTCACTAACCCAGGAAGGACAGCTCCGCCTTTGACCAGTTGTGACAGCTACAAATTCTTACATTTATTGCACCAAAATAGACCTTCCTGGATCCAGCGGCTCTCTTCCCATCTCTAAACCATTTGGCCAAATGACAGTCCTCTCAGGATTTGACAAAGTGATTTTCCTCGGTTTACTGTTTTCCAGGAAACACTGAACATCCCAAGTCCTTGTTCTTGTGTCTCCTGTCATCATCTTCTGCCACCCCTCTGACTCTGGTCATGCCCAGTGACAGCACCAGAGGCATCACCCAGCCAGGCACAGGCATAGTGAAGCTGTGCCTTCCTCATCTGGAATCTTCTTCCTCTCTGCAGCCTTCCTCATCTGGAACTTTCTTCTCTGCAGCCTTCCACATCTGGAACTTTCTTCTCTGCAGCCTTCCTCATCTGGAATCTTCTTCTTCTTCTCTGCAGCTAACAATTACACAGGCTGCTTTGGTTGCCACATTTTCTGATTCCCAGGGACTGCTGCTTCTCCTCTACATGGACCCAAGCCACCTTTAGCATCCTTTACATCATCTTGTCTGGGGACCTCCAACAGACCTGTCTGCAGTTTGTTGCCTCCCTTTATTTTCCTCCTTGGAAGGCAGCCTGCCCTTCAGTGTCTGTTTCTCTGGTGTCCCCTCCTGTCCCCGGTTTCTCTGGTGGCTCCTCCTGTCCCTGGTTTCTCTGGTGTCCCCTTCTGTCCATGTTTTCTCTGGTGACCGCTCCTGTCCCTGGTTTCTCTGGTGCCCCCTTCTGTCCATGTTTTCTCTGGTGACCCCTCCTGTCCCTGGTTTCTCTGGTGTCCCCTTCTGTCCATGTTTTCTCTGGTGACTCCTCCTGTCCCCAGTTTTTCTGGTGGCTCCTCCTGTCCCCGGTTTCTCTGGTGTCCCCTTCTGCCCACGGTTCCTCTAGTGGCACTTCCTGTCCCCAGTTTCTCTGGCGGCCCCTTCTGTCTCTGGCTTCTCTGGTGCCTCTCTCCTGTCCACAATTTCTCTTGTCCCTCCCTCCTGTCCAGGGTGCCTCACAGGTCTCTGACTGGGCTTCAGGAGCATGGCAAGCTCCGTCACACCCTGGAAAGTAATCAGGAAACACAGACTCTGACACAGAAGGTGCATTCCCCCAGCCCTTCTCTTCTCTTGGGCTTCCCACCCCCAGTTCACCCTGAGGACTGTTATCCTTGAGAAGAAGGCAGAGGGAAAGGAGTTTTCCCCCACACCTCCTCCTATTCCCCAATGTGGACGGCCTGCTCCTTCTCCCAGCTACCTCTCCATTGTTAAGCCTTTTATGTAATTCACCTCTAGAACTTTCAGTCACCCTCACTCATTCTGGTCTTTAGCCTCTAACAGCACTTCTTCATATCAAGTCCACTCTCTTATATTAGTCCTTGTTGCTCTTGCATCCACTGGATTTGGGGTAACTGACCCCCAAGGTGAGCTCCCCAGCAAGCACCCAATGCAGCCTCACTGGTGCCTGTCAGCTCCTCATTCCTTCCTCACAGCACTTGCTTGGAATTGCAGAGGCTGCAGTGGGACTCTGAACTTCCCCATCGTCCTGTACCACCAGTTTCCCTGGAGCAAGCCATGGCATCCTCCCCACTCTTTCAATGACTGCTTCTGATAAGTTCTCCCTGAACCAGGCTGCAGCTCTGAGCCTGTACAGCCCTCTCAGTCTTCCTGCAAACCCACAGATGGTACAATCATATTTGTCCAAAATTTTCTTCTCTTGCCTTTGACCAAACGATTTCTCAGCATTGTCAAGTCAATAATTTGTCAGAAGGTCTTCTAAGCAACTGAGACTTTCAGCAGGTGCCTGGAAATACTGAAATCCTGTCCTATTAGGTGTTTTCAGAGAGTATGTGGAGGTCATGCATTATGGAAAAATGACCTCGAGCTTGGAGATAACATGGGTGAGGCCAAATCCCAGCCCTTCTTCTTACTAGCTATGTAATACGGCTTCAGTTTCTTGACTGTCACTAAGGAAATAAAGGCCTTACCTTGGTAGGATGTTGTAAAATTTTAATCAAATAAAACAGTCTGTCCAAACTATACATCAGAATGACCCAGATAGGGACCCTTTTTAAAAGCATAGGTTTCTGGGCACCATTCCTCAGAGACTCTGGTTTAGCATATCTGAAAGCAGAACTGTCAAAAAGCCCAAGGTGTTTCCAATGTGGCCACAGATTTGGGAGCCACAGAAGTCATGTTTTAAAATGCCCAGCACATTGCCTTGATGGGATGATGAAGCTGAAAATTGAGATGTAAATATAACTAGGAAGAATGCACTATTGACCAAATAAAGAAATTCCTAGGAGTAAATCACACACAGAAATGTATGCATGGACATCCAAGATCTGCAGAGGCGAGTGTGAATGGGGAGAGTCTGGGAAGGCCATGGACAGGAAGGGTGAGGATGGGTTTTGTAATGGGTCCCCCAGCCCATTGGAGGGAGTGGGTGGTGTTTTCTACAAACAGAGCAAATGCAGCATCAGAGAGGGCTTATAAGTCACACTGGGAGATTATTGTACAAGGCAGTGTCACTGAGGTATGGGCTGAGCTAAAGAAACCTACAGGGCATGGATGTGGAAGTGCCCAGTGACCACCAAGAGGGGACTGTCCCCTCCCTACCCAGGTGTACCATATGCCTTGGATTGGTGTAAGGGAACTGCAGTCATGGACACGCCTCTCCAGGCTGTCTATCAACTCCCACACAAAAACCTCCAGTGAAGATAGCTGTATCTTCATTGGCCCCGTCAGTTCCAGAAAATTCCATGTTGCCTGGGCAGCAGCATTCACCACCACAACTGTCTACCTCCTCCTGGGCCTACTTGGCAAATGTCTCTGTGTCTTGCAGCACCTGGCATTCCTCCTCATCCTCCTAAACATCTCTGCAGAAGGCCTGGCTTTCTCTCTGTAGGGCAAGCCTCATTGGTGTGTGTCATTGCATTGATACAAAATTTCCTTTCCTCATTTGTCTTCTATGGAATCACATTCTTCTCCTCATAAATTTTTTTCCAACTCCTCTCTTTTTTTTTTTCATATTCTTCTACCTCTAATCTTCTTGATTCAAAATATGCTTTTTCCTTGTAACGGCAATATTGTCAGCTTCTATTAGGCTCCATTCTCCGAGAAGCTAAAATAAAGCATCAAAAAGCAGTCTTTAAGCCACATATTTTTTCTTCAATTCCAGAAAATCTCTTGCATTTTTGTTTACATCTGGACAGAGAAGTCCCCCAAATTGCCATACTCACCCTTAGTGTGACAAAGTGATTAGCCCCATTCCCAAGACTCAGAGGTCCATGTATTTGTGGTTTATTTATCTATTAAACATTAATATACTATTTATCCACTGTGAGCCAGGCACTGTGCTAGCAATAGGGATAGAAGACTGGGTATGGCCAGCATGGCCTCTGCCCGCCTGGAGCTTAAAGTCCAGCAGGGAATACAGATTATCCATGGCAGACTTACTTGTGTGATGAGCACCACCAAGGCAGACCCTGAGGAGGATGGGAATATGTAGGCATCATCTCTGTCTACTGTCTTGGAGCCTCCTTTGTTCATCCCCAGCCAATGCCAGCTGTGGACCACCCACCCACAATCAACACTGCCCAAACTCTTTTGTTATAAGAACAATGTATTGACATTCTCATTCTTGCATGAAGCCCTAAAATCAGCAGATACAAAATGTCGCAGAGTCAATGATAACATTTCACATGAAACAGGTGCTGCTGTTATAATTAGCTATGGTTGAAAAATAATTCCTACAACCAAGGATTTGGCACTAAATGATTTCAAAAACATAGAATTGCAAAATATGTTTGGTAATCAGGATTTATCCTGGAATGAGATTGGTTTGTATAGGATCATCTTATTTTTACCACTCTATTTGGGGAGGGAAGGGTCTGGTATAGCTTGAAGTTTTGCTGGTTTTCAAAACCTTTTAGAACCAGGGATTTTGGGGGGACCCAGGGTACCATCCAAACCATAGTTCATCGTACTGTCCCGTACAGTGAGTGCTCACAGTGGTCGTTGTCCACTCCACTGACCTGAGCTTCCACCACTGGAATTTCCCTTCTGTGATCTCCCCCAGTCCGCTGAGCTGTGCTTCCTCCACCACCCCGCCCCCCCGAACTCTCCTGGCTTGTTGCCCCATGTCCCTCGCAGAGTGGATAATGAGTGTAGGATACCACATCCCCTCTGATAGCCAACTCTGCCAGAAAGCTGGGAACATTGTATTGAGAAATCACTTGGAGTGTAATTTTTCTTTCTTTCCTTTTTTTTTTTTTTTTTTTTTTTTTTTTTTTTTTTTATAATTCCTACTTGTGAACTTTCAAAGGCAGAGGAAAAAAACTCACATCTCTATCTCTTCTTTTTTGAAAAACAAAACCCAAAAGACTCCTGGGATTCTGCTCAGAGAACCAAAGATGTTTCCCCTCAGCTGAACTCGGCCACCATCATTGATATCCACCCTTCCTCCACCTACAGCATCCGCATGTACGCCAAGAACCGGATTGGCAAGAGCGAGCCCAGCAACGAGCTCACCATCACGGCGGACGAGGCAGGTACGTGGGACTGGGCAGCATCTTGCTCTGGAGGAGCTCGGGAGCTAACTCTTTAGGGCTCAGATGCTTAAATGCAGAAGCAGACCTTTGCCCGCGCTAGGTGGAGGTCTTTGATGCATGCTCTCCATAGTTCTGTGCCCTATAAAAAACGCAGACAGTGCTCTGCATCTTACTTTGAAGGCACTGCTCTTCAAATAGGATTTAGTTCAAGTTTCTCATAGCCAAGACTTAAAAGAAAGACATATGAGGCTAACAATCTGGTGAGATTCAAAGAATCATGCCGTTTTACAATTCCTTTGTTTGGACGCATGGAATCCAGGTTGACAGGAGAACCGTAAGTGTATTTCTTGCCTGAGACCCTGTACAGTCTAGTGTGGGAGGAAGGAGTAAACGCTTAGCTAAGAATCTGTGTGGGAGATGTGGGAAGGGGAACAGATTATTGAATTGACTGAAAACATCAACATTTAAAAATAATTTTTGTTCTTTTTACCATTACAAATAACACTGTATTTACTGTTGCAAATTCAGCAAACAGAGATAAGCATTGTGGAGAAAGCAAAACAGCTTCCATCATTTTCCCATCTAGAGGTAACCCAGGAACAGGCAGATATAACAAGTTAAATAATTTCATCACCCATACACGCACGTGTGCACAGGCACTCACCATGTATCCACACCCCTTAACACACAGTGGACCACTCGTGGTTCCTGGGGGTGAAATTAACAGGTGTGCAGAGAACTGAGCAATGAGGCAATGGTCCATGAATGTTGATTGTCAACCCACCTCCTGGCAAGAGGAGAGGAAGCCCCCGTGCTTGGGTTTCTCCCAGGTTAAAAAATAAGGAGTGCATGCCTGGCTCATTTCTTGGAGGGAAAGGGTGTCCAGCTCCCAAACCTACCTCTTCTTTTCCTGTCCACCATCAGTGCAATCAGCCACTCCCTACTGCAGGAATCCTGGCACCTTAGTCTCACATCCCTGTTTCTCCGTCACCAAGATTAAGGTGATTGCCATGCCCAGATGGCTAACAGAAGACCGGAGGTTTGCTCCAACTTTCAGTAGAGCTTGTTCTTGGCTTCCTTCCCACCACCTTATCTCTGCCACCCTCAGTAACAGCATCCCAAATAGAAATTGAGGTTATGTATCTCTTAAGTACTTTTCTACAATTCGTAATGATATCTCTTACCATATATTTAACAAATCTCCTACTGCCAAACAGGTCAATTATTTTCAAGTTTTCATTAGTATAAACACCACTACAATGGACACCCTAATGGCATGTCTTTTACCATTTCCGAGATCATTTTCTTAAATTAAATCCTAAGAAGTCAATGGCTGGATCAACCAAATGCAACATTTTCACACTTCTGATATTTGTAATCAATGTTGTCTTCAAGAGAATGGGTTAAAATGTACAATTCTTCCTCAACTGCAGAGGAGTGCCCATTTCTCAATGGTGGAAGATGTCAGTTCTTGAAAATTGTTTTCAAGAGTGAGTGTCAGAAGACCTTTATGCTGAAGTGCCTGAGAATGAGTCATTTCTGAGACTTGGATTCTCTGTATGATTTCTCATCTGCAAAATGGACATTACGATGCCTTGTTCCTTACACAGACATATCTGATCACTGAAAAAAATCTCAAGCTCTAAAAGTACTTTGCATGTCTCAGAAAGAAGTGGGAAATAAGTGTTAATCTGCTCCTGCAAAAATAGAATTGTATTTAATTATGTATGTAAACAACCCACCAGCTTGCTCAGATCCCTGGGCTTTCATTATGCTGGATACTTAGAGAGAATAAGCTGTTCCCATCCTTCAGCCCAAAATGTCATCTCTGACTTCCTGCTCAATCTTCTCCTTCCCTCTCAATGCCTTTGCTAATCCCACCCCATCCCAGCCACCTCCTCAGGAAAACAGCATTTTTCGGGTAGTGCATTTTGCACCTGCTTTTCTGATTGCCATTATTAATGCTGCTGTTGTTGCTTTTTTCTTCGTTTCCTCTGTGACCTCCGCTGCGGCTGGCAGTTGCCATGGCAGCAGCTCTCTCCCTGCCAGAAGGCCAGGTGAACAGCCTCCGGGGTGCTGGTCTGCAGGGCAGCTGCCTGGCATGTCTGCAGACAGATGCGGACGCCGCCTCTTTGGCTCCCCGGCTGGCCTTTTGTATTGTATCTGGGTGCTGGCTGCGGCAGCCCCACACAGCCTCTCTCCTTTAATATTCAGAGGAGCTAAGGGGAAATGAAAGGAAAGGAGCAGGCTCCAGAAATGGAAAGCTGCAGCAGAAAACTTGTCTTTGTCTTAGTGCATAGGTTTGCATGACTGAAATTAAAAAGTCAATTTCCCATGTGTGACTTACCTCCAATGGAGTGCAACTACTCTGGCCAAAGGCATCCTTATTAGAGTGTTCAGCAGGGGCTGGAGACACTGCCTCCCCTCCCCAGCAGGCGAGCCCAAAGGCACATCTTTTTAGGAGCTGTAGCTATCTTGAAGTGACCTTGTCCCACTCTTCCCTTACTCCTTTTATGGGAGCCTCTGGAAGCTGTCAGCCCATTCACTTTTGCTGTAATATAGTACCCAAGTCTTGGGCACATGAGGACGCCTCCCCCAATGCTGCTACTTTGCAATGACTCAGTGACTCCCCAGAGCCCAACGCCCAGCACCAACCTACCTTTTCATGCTCCCAAACCCTATTGTTGTGCTTCTTCCCTTGCCTGGAAGGTGCTACAAGTTCCATGTCCCCTTTTCTGTGCTCTTCCTTGAAAAGCCAAGTTCAAAGATGCCTTCCTCCCTAGTGCAGTGTCTTTGCCCATCTCCTGGGTGCAGTTAGTGACTCCTCAGCTCAGCACAGAGGAGGGATTTTACTGACAGTAACCTTTGAGGCATATCATCATGTCTCCATGGACCCTGTTGTCCATGATGACATGGGGGGGGCTATGAGCCCCTCCACATCAGGAGTCGTGTGCACTCACACTTCTGTCCCTTGTGTGTGTCTAGCATAAGGGAGATGAACATGTGAGATGAACAGTTATAATCATTACTCAGTATTGCCTTTAGAATGGGTGCCACAATGAGCAGAGTAAGTGCGTGTGCATGTGTTGGTTGAGAAAATAGATCCTGAATTAAACCCACACTGAAATTCTGAAGTGTGCTCTGGTCTGAATGTTCATGCCTCCCCTTTCAAATTAATATCTGGAAACCTAATTCCTAATGCAATAATATTAAGAAGTGGGGCCTTTAGGAGGTGAGGGTGGACCCCTCATAAATAGAATCAATGCCCTTGTAAAATAGGCCCAAGGCCCAGTAAGATCACTTACCCCTTCTGCCACGGGAGGGTGCAGGGAGAAGGCACCATCTATGAACCGGAAGAATGAGCCCTCACCAGACACCAAATCTGGCCTCTTGATCTTGAAATTCTCAGACTCTAGAAATAAATTTCTGTAAGAAATAAACTTCTGTGCCAGGCACAGCGGCTCACGCCTACAATCCCAGAACTTTGGGAGGCTGAGGCAGGGGGATCATTTGAGGTCAGGAGTTCAAGACCAGCCTGTTTAACAAGGCTAAACACTGTCTCTACTAAAAATAGAAAATTAGCCAGGTGTGGTGGCGCATGCCTGTAATTCCAGCTACTCAAGAGGCTGAGGCAGGAGAATGGCTTGAACCCTGGAGGTGGAGGTTGCAGTGAGCCGAGATTGTGCAATGGCACTTCAGCCTGGACAACAAGAGTGAAACGCCATCTCAAAAACAAAACAAACTATGCTTAGTTCAGGCTCTGTAGGTGAAATTTGGCTCGCCAACTGTAGTTTGCTGACCCTTCAATGAATGGAGGATGGGAACTGTGGCTCACTGAGGGTGCACAGTCAGGCTCTCCATGCTTCACTCCGGCTCATTGCTGCCAAGCAGGAACTCAAGAGTAACTCAAAATTTAGATTTTGAGCTGAAATTTCCAGATTTTAAAAATTAACACTGAATTTAGAAGCTTGGCACAACACTAAGCAGAACTCACATCCACAGGCCTGGTCTGTTGTGGGCTGCGGTTTACGGCCTGGGAGGTGCCCTATTCCATCAGGATGAGGGAGGGCATCTCCAGCTCCAGAGGCAGCCATTTCACGGTTGGTCACTGGAGCTGTGATGGGGGCTGTGTTCTTCCCCCATCTTCTTTCCCGTCGGCCTTCCTGTCCTATCCTTTCACCTTTCTCTACTTTTCTTTATTACGTCTTTGTCTTCTTTATGAAGTCCATGTTGGTCAGGCTGGTCTGTGACTCCTGACCTCAGGTGATCTGCCCAGCTCGGTCTCCCAAAGTGCTGGGATTATAGGCATGAGCCACCAAGCCCAGCCTATGTATCTTTTTTTTTTTAAGAAAGAATAATGTGGGTGCATAAAACTCAAAATTTGTACTGCCTGAGTCTTTACAGAAAAGTTTATGGATCTCTGATGAAGCCTGGCCACCATGGGAATTTGAGTTTTAGATTTCTGCTGTATCCACTACAAAGGTTAGTGAGGAAGGAACTGCTGCCATTGACATAGTGTCCCTACCTAATGTTGGGAAATCACATTGCTCCAATCCCAAGATGCTGAGTTTATTTGCATGTGAAAGTGCACAAAGCATTATCATACCGCTTGAATACACTTGACCTCAGAGACCACACCGTTCAGCACAGGCTTCCCAGCTGCCCCCAACCAGCCATAGCACCAGCAGCCCCTGCAACAGAGGAGCAGTCAAGAGACTAAGTGGAGACACAGTCGGAGTTAACGAGATCCGCTGTTAATGGACTCGAAGTGTGTCTCTTTGACACGAATCAGCCACGTGACACGTGACATTCACAGCTGGCCCTTGTGGCAGACCAGCTTCCCCATTAGCAGCCGCCCCCTGCAGGTCGTGAGTCACTTAGTGCCTTGTGACCGGGTTCGGAGTGGCAACTCCCTTCGTTATTTTCACTGTAAATCTGTGCACAGAACGTGTAGCTTCCATTAGTGGGTGCTCACTCGTTGAAACACCACTGAATTTCAC